CAGTGTTACACAGCAGTTTTGGGGGTTTTTTTCACCAAATGCAGCAATACTACGTGGCACTTGTTTGTTTTTATGTAGGTCATATAATTTGTGTAACTACTGTCCAGTGACTAAATGTGCTCTGACACATTGCGTCCTGCCTCTCCAGGTGATTTTGATCTCCAGCGGGTGAAAGAATCTACTTTTTTCTTCAGCTGAGAGCTTCGTGAGAGCGAACCAGTAGAAGGAGATGAGTGGAATTGACAGAGTGCAGCAGGGAAGCTGCAGGCTCCAGGGTCCCTACCGGCTTTGTCTTCCACAGACATGAGGACATTGATCCAGCCGCACCCTGCCTGCCTCCTGGTCCTCAGCCTGGCTGGAGCTGTTGGAGGCGTACACAGCGAACTCGCCTTATTAACTGACTTCTAGACTGATGGGAAAATGGTGGGATACTCATCCAAGTGAAAAATGAGGGAATAAGCGTTCGATGGAAATGCTAAGACTTCAATTACGGAAAAGTACCTCTCTTAGTAGACTCTACCTGGCCATATTCAGGTTTGTGTGAGTGTGCGAGTGTGGGTGGGAGTGAGTGAGTGTGTTCATTCGCTATACTGAATATAATGTGAACTGTGCCAGTCTGTTCATCACTCTAATATTTTTGCTACTCGAGCAAAAAAAATTCTACCTACAGTGTGTGTGTGTGTGTGTGTGTGTGTGTGTGTGTGTCTGCTGGTATCATGATGTAAAGATTTCCACTGAGCACTGACCTGCCTCTGCAGCCCCTACCTCTGAATGGCAGGGTGGTGTCTAAAACATTTTGTCTTCTTCAGAAGACGTTTAAAGAAGAGACATTTGAAAGATGTGTTTTACTGTAAAATGAGTGTAAAGGACACAGAAACCAAGACATGTCCGGACGTGTCGGGGTCTCTGAGATGGAGCCATAATATTCTCACCTTCTTGGAGTAACTAAACACTTGACGGTTGCAATAAAATAAACATGCTTCTTAAAATGTCTCCTTACTTATTCAAAGCTTCAGTCAAACATTTGGTATTCTTAGTGTGCTTAAACAGGATGAATCGGACTGCCTGTTATTTAATCGTATCTGCATATTTCAGTGCTGCTGTTTAGACTGTTAGATGAAGGCCTCCTTTTAGATGTACCACAAAGGGTTTGCAGGCTTCACTAATCAACTCAGATCTTATTTTTCTGGGCCAGTGCCACATGTAGAAATAAAAATAGCAGAAGTGCTATCTGATCATTGCTGGAAACGTTACAGCAGTTTCAGACAAAAGGTGCCATTGATGTTCAAAGGCAAATGTAGGCTCAGCCAAACAAAGCTGGCTGAGTGGCAGTGTAATGAAATGGAAATGATCTTTGAGGGGGCATAAGTAGTGTGTGCTGATTGCACTGCAGGTTTTTGGGGATGACAATTAATGCTATAAGAAAAGTTAGTTAAACATTTGTCTTTTAAATATATGTGTGAATTTGTGTGAATGGGTGAATGACTGAATGTAGTGTAAAGCGCTTTGGGGTCCTTAGGGACTGAGTAAAGCACTATACAAATACAGGCCATTTACCATATTATTAGAAATTATTCTCAAACTGGTGGGTGCAGAGCCACTGTAGGTGAGGTGTATCAAATAATCAGTAAAACTAAGCTGAATATGATTTTTCAGGGCAAATATGAGTTTGATGGTTGTATGTGCTAAACCTCATTTACTAAAATTCATAAAAGGTTTGAAAACCCCTGGTATGACCAGGGCAAAAAAGGTTTTCATTTTGAGAAATGAGCATGTTTGCTGTCTTGTAAATGGCATTAAGGTAAGCTAACCTGGTGCAGTTAGTTTTTTTATTTTTTTTTTATAGCCAGCACACCTCTGCAAAAGTGTTGAGCCACACCTCAGATCTTTAGATTTTGCATCCAAGGCACCAGACTTTCTGTAACTTTTTAAAGTGCTCTGAGAAAAACTTCTCAGGGTCTTTAAAAGTTTTACTTTGGACACTGGTTGCTTTTTAACTTATTTTCAGTCCAGTCCTTAAGTTACTTAAGTAAGAGTAATTTGAATGTTATTTCTATAGCATCTTTCAAGATAAATGTCAGAAAGTGCTTCTCAGCAAAATACCAGAACAGAAAATTGAGTTAAGCTCTCAGATCTGATGCTCAGATGTAGAGAGTTCCAGAGTCTGGGGGCCACTGTTGTAAACGCTCGGTCTCCTTTAGTTTTAGTTATGATTCACAATCAGTAGACCCTGATCACATCACCTCAGAGAAAATTTAGGGACGTAAGGATGTAAAAGTTCACTGTTGTAAGCTGGTGCTTGTCCATGAGGAGCACTGAAAGTCAAAACTTAACATCAATGACTCATTCAAGCATAAAAACACCCCAAACTCAAAGAATAAAGCAGTGTAATCTGGCAATTTACCAGTTGTAAAATGGATCCTTGGGTGCTGTTACTAGTAGTTTCTCACAAAAACACATCACTAATTCTCATTTATTTAGTTCAACCTATGAGAAATGCCAAAATTAACAGTTTGGCAGGTATAGAATCATATTTTGGGTGATTCCCAAAGAGCTATTAGATGAAAACTTGGCATATCTCAGCACGTTGTGCATTGTGTCCTTAAAAAAAAAAAAAGAGTAAACTGGACAATGTTAGTTTTTCACACCTTAAATTTCATTTTGTCTGTCTACAGCAAATCTGAAAGTCATGTCTTTCAGAAATAGGAAATAATGTCAGCAAAGACCTGACACAGAAGCTGAGAGATCCATCTGGACGTGCAGCTGATCCATCTACTGTTCACTGAAGCCTCATCAACAGGATTCAGTCACAGTGCAAGAGTGGCTGTCAAGAAGTCATTCTTAAGGAAGAGAAATTGGGGGGAAAAGGCTGAGCTATGCCAAAGAACTGGACTGAAAGTCAGCGACAACACGTCTGTCAGAGTATAAGAAGGTAAGGACAGATGCACAACAGTGAGTGCCGCAGCGATCTGTAAAACAATGTGGCTGCTCTGTCGTGGTTTTGGCATTTCACTCAGTGGCGTTAGAGAACTCGTCAGAATTGATGGTCATCCAAAATGTTGGCTTTCAAGCTTGTACAAACTTAACTTATGCTCAGCATTTCCAAGCATTTTTGCACACGTATTCAATGAACTGCTTCAAGACTTTTACACAATTCTGTGATTCTGATTTAACGGTCATGTTTTTTATTGATTAATAAAGAAAGCTATGATTTTGACTTTAATCTTAACCTGATGCACACCAAGCAAAGGTCTCTATTCAGCAGACATTAGCCCCGAGCTGCCTCTCCTTTCCTTTGATTTTTTTTTTTTTCCCCAACTGGGCTTCAAGGACGGAGCTCTCTCCTGTAAAGTGCTCTTAGGATCACACATACTTAATACGTATCATGTTTCACAACACGACTGCCTGACAAAAAGTGTTACTTGACCTCAGCTCTGCACCAAGGAGTGGTCATGAATGAGCGCCGCATACCAGATGCCTGCGTGGGATGTCTGACTATAGTATAAGCTTTAAAGGTATTACTCTACAACACTAAAAATGGTGGAACCTGTTAGCAAGTTACTGTAGAGGGGGGGAGGTCAAGGAACAGACATCTGTTTTTGTTGGGAGGAGGTGTGCTGTTTGCCAGAACTGTGGATGACTTTGGCTAAGGGAGTGCACAGGATATTGAAGATGATATTACAGCTGACGTGTGGCTTGATGGGCCTGTCGTGTTGTCTCTGAGGTGATTCCCTGGATGTTTGCTGTTAGATCCTTTGAGCTTCGCTGGTCAAACCTGCACTAATGGAGCAAGGCTTGAAGCAAGAAATAGTCAGGTAGCTTCCATTACAAGCCTGCATAAGAGAATATATGTATTACGAGCAGATGTTGGGGCAGATGTTTGACAAACCCTTCACGTGAAGGCCTCTCTAGAGAGATTAAAAGGTAGAGCATAATCTTTAAGATGTCTTTTAATGTACATGAAACAAGATTCTTTAAGCGCCTTATTTTATAGTCACTTTTTAATAATCAAACCTCCGCTAGCAAGTCTCAGAACCTCCATCTAATACAAATCTGGTTTGTTATAATGCTTTAACCAGATGCTGAATGCTTAGGATGCTTATTTCATTCATTTACATGAAGGTGTAAATCACTGTATTCTGTTTTTAATTATATTTTAGGCAGTTTCACAAATGTTATGGAAACGGGAAGGGTATTTGTGAATGTAAGGAGTCGCTGAGGTCTGCTTTCTGTTGGCAGTCCAGCTACAGTAGATTAGAGTTAAGTGGGGACTCTAAATTGGTGATAAGTGTGAAAGTGACTGGCTACATTAGAGCTGTGATAAAGTGAGGGCATATGTGGGGTGTTCCCCTGTCTCACACTCTAAGCATTCTGGCATAGTCTCCAACCCACCATGGCCAGAAATAGAATTAAGATATATGCAAAGAAGCAATAATACATTAATTATTCAAAAAATCTTAAATCCAAAAACTTCGAATATTTATCACGGCCTACCTTGAATGTACTGTATGTCACTGAATGTAGAAGCACCATCAGACATCAGTGGAGGGCTTTTACTAAGCTCTTTATTCTAGCTGCAGCATCATCAGAGAGGAGACACCACAGAAGTGTTGGTCGCTATCTGTGAGACATGCCAGAACTGGAAGCCACTCTTCGATAGCCGCACCACTCACTTTTGCCGAGAGGACTTTGATTTCCTTGCCAGGCTCCTGGGCTCTCCTCGTCTATCTCCCAGCACTCAGCAGCACTGGCAGGGGAGCACACTGTACAGACAGCCCTTGTGGGAGCAAACAGGGTCGTAACTCTATGATAGCAGGGGAGAGGAAGCAGAAGGCACTGCAGGGACGGGGGCTGGGTGCTCTGGTGTTTAGAAGACGGGTGGTACAGTGTTGGCAAGTGTGTGTCAGGTATATTAGTATTAGTTGGTCTGACCTTTAGTCTGGCTGACTGGTGCTGATGCATGATTAACAAACATCAATTTTCCTTTAAATTTCAGATGGAAAGAAGTAAACCCTCCGAGGCTTCTGTAATCATCTGCATGTCAACCTCTAAGTGGCAAACTCACACAATAAGTGTGAAGTCTATTAAATTCCCCCTTTGGAGACCATCTGTCTCAACACTGCAGGGAAAACTGTGGCTTTTGAAATGGCACTCCAAAAATGTCTGAACAAGGACGTCAAGAAGTGGAAACTTTTGTGATTTCTGTGCTTGAGAGTTTTTGAAGGTTTTCAAAATGGTTTAGATTACTCATTTAGAATTTTAGAATATTTTGTCTGCAAAAAAATATGAAAAAGTAAGACACAAATTCATTATTTTATTTACATACTTACTTTAAACAACTGAATATTTTATGATTCTTCAGTTTGATCACATACAACTCTTCTGTGCCCACTAATCATACAATTTGACTTAAATATATTTCCACCTTCCATGTGCTGGATGTCTGTTGCAGCTGACTTTGCATTTTTGGCCTTGCTCCCTGCTGTTTTTATGGAGCGCTGTGTGTAAAAATTCATCCTGCAGCAAAAACAAAACGAGGCATATTGGCATACTGATGATACAATCACATTGAAAATGTATCAGTGAATCACATGGCACAAACTCAGTGTGTTTAGTCATATAGACATGGATTGGATAATGTGCTGCAGTTCAAAGTGAGCAACAGAATGATGAAGAAAGGTGCTTTAAGAGACTTATTTGGATAATAATGGCTTGTTGATGCCAAATTTCAGAAGAAAAAGGTCAAACTGCTTCATAAGAAGTAAAAAATAACTCAAGTGCCCACTACAACCAAAGTATGTAGAAGAGCATACCTGAACAAACCACACATCAAACTCTGAAGCTGATGGGCCACAGCAGCAGAAGACTACACTGTGCAGCACTCCTGTTAGTATAATTCACCATGTCCCAGAGCTCCTCTCAAACTGGTTTCTTTAACCTGACAGTAGGTTTTCATTTTGTGTTAGTATCTTGTCCAAGTACGTTTGCCAGTGATTACTTACATTACACGCTCCCTTGATCCTTTGCAACCTTTAGCTCGTGGAACCAAGAATGCACACAACTGAGACTTCAACTCTAATTGACATTGACCTGTTAACATTATTGTTGTCTATGATTAATTACAATAATTACATTGCATAATGAGACTTGTTATTCCTGTCCCAGGTGTTTATCTAGATCAGAGACTTGCAGGGAAAGGTCACGTAGAACAGCTGGGTAAGCTTTCCTTACCAACTGCTTAAGTCCCTCTTAGGAGATCCCCACACGAGCTGTGAGAGCATTTATATTAAACACAGTCTTCTAATGTATATTTGTATCAGAAACACATTTGTAGTTCAGTGGAAGTCAAACACTGTAGATGGAAAAACAATATATTAGACAGGTAGCATTTATTGATGTTAATGAATCTGCCTTTTAATCGAGACTACCAAAGGGGAGCACACCTCAGCACAAGCATTGTGTGGAATAAATCCTTCATGCTGAATGATATCTTGCATAATTAAATAAATATTTGCACAAGTAAATGTGCCTCTTCCAGCCCATGGTCAAAACGCTCAGAATGCCACCAAAACCACAAGTAAGCTGAAGTCTAATATTCACTATATGACTGAGCAAAAGATTTTTGATGATCGCTTTCTGTTTTCTAGAAGGTTTTCTGCTAAATCAGCTAGAAAAGCAGAATAAGATGCATATTAAATCTGTTAAAACACCCCTATATGTAGGTGATAACCTTTATTTGAATTGTAAATAATAACTTTACTTTCAACGTAAAGTTTTTGTTACAGGATCTTCTGGACAGATTTCTTGGGAAAAACGTTAAGATCCCTGTACATGCGAGATGCATCTGTGGTAATTTGGTACATGCCTACTTCCACATACAACCTGGATTAATCATGAATTTTTCAGACCAGAAGTGCAGCAGGAATCAATAACCCCAAGGTTCATGTAAATTATTGATACTTCCCAAATGCTCAGAAGGAAAGGACTAGGTTGAGTGGCGCAAAAAGGACTAATAAACATCACATTTCTGAAGAGAAATCTTAACCAGTTGTGTTTTAAAATAAAAGCTACAGAGGAAGAGAAACTAGAGAAAGGCGTTTAAATTCGCAGAAAAACTATTGCAGTGTTTTAGATGTAAAAATCAATAACAGCTCTGATAAATGAAAAAATACCTTCAAGACCTACAGCGAGCAGAGACAATCATCTGCTTTTACTGTATTAAGAAGCTCTGATTCTATTATAACGCAAAATTATTGACTCTTTGCATGTTTGTGCTTTTCTAACATGCTAATCTAAAATAAATAACCTAAACATGAGGCAGTGGAATCATACTGTAGTCAAATACAATTTATTGGTTTAACTCTGTGGTGGGATATATGTAACAGTGACGTTTGCATTCTGAGGAGCTCGCATTTTTACAGCCACACACAAAGAATATAGTATATGTATGTGGAAACTACCATATTTGCTAGGCACTAGGTATGCACAGTACATGTTAGGACACATGACAACTGCAGAGTGGCTCAATAAAAGAACTTCAGGTCCCTGACTCAGAAACGCCTGCACTGCACTGTTGATTTTTCTTAAAGTGACGGCTGGAGATTGTCGGCTTGCTTCGAGGGAGTTTCCCAGAAAAGAGGTTGTCTACATTTGTCTGTAGATTTAAGGTATTGATTGGCTGTAAGTATTGGCTTTGTACCGAGTCACTAATATGGAAGGTTGTTAGACTCACAAGTCAGGGATCTGACAACAAGGAAAGAAATAATAAATAGAAACCGAATCATGTCACACCAAATCCCATAAAACACAGAAACAGCCAGTATAAAATTTGCATCATATATTTTTACCTTCTAGTTGCTTATTGGTCAGTAAGAGTGAAATAATCCAAACTCGTTCGCATAATTGTACATCTATCATAATGTCGATGACACAAAATCATATCGTCGCTCGGTTGTTATGAATAGCCCTTGTAGGTAAACATTTTAAACACCCTGAATCCCCACGCATTCCTCCTATTGATGACCTCAGAGAAATAAAAACTGGAATGGTAGATACTGTAGTTTAGCGTCAGAGAAGCACTGAAGCTAAGAAAAACGAGGCTCTATGAAGAAAGCACAAAAAGAAGCAAATACAGATGCTTCTGTTGCCGTTTCCACTGCCGTGTCTGAGCGTGCATGTGTGTGTAAGCACAGCTGACTTACCAAAGCCTTGAGCGTGTACTGAAAAACCGAACAGCTGAGTTTTTGTAACATTTACATAACACTAAATATGTTTGTAAAGTTGCAGAAGAAGAAAAAGTGCATTTACAGGATTGAGGGGAGCACACTATTGACTCATCAGGGAAAAAATAACCCCAAAATGCGCTGGTAAAAGAACCAGGCTTTGCAAGTTGACTGGGGTGTAGAACAGTAGAACAGTAGAAGAAACCATGCAGACCCCACAGCAACTGGCACGTGAGTATATACAAACTCTGTGTGGTAACTGTAGAAAAACAAGCGATACATCCTCTGTAATACAAACAGCTTTTCTCTCTTTTAATTATTATTTTCAAGTAATATCAGTTCATACCAGATGATAATATGCATTCTGTCAGAGATTACAAAGAGATTCTTTTTTTTTTCAAACATTTTCTTCATCTGTTTTTTTTTTTTTTTTATAGCAGATCTACATTTACAGTAAACTAAGTTACATTAATTAATAGTCTGGTGCACACTATGTTTACACATAGAAATACCATGTCTGTCAAGTTAGTTTGAGTGGACAGTAAGCGCGGTTTAAACGTATCTGTTTTCAAAGACAGATGTTCAACAAATTCTCAGTAAAGTTTGGGAGCGCAGTCTAAAATATGAAATATTGCATCTTCGTTAACACCTCAAGGGCAGAACATCTTCTGCATACAGTGGTCATTCACTCCATTTCAAACAGTTATTGCTTCATGTGATAAACATCACTTTCAGACAATAGGACTGAATGAGTGTTGCCTGATTTTTATGCTAAATCACTGTGAGGTTTGCATACAAAAGAATTGCAATCGTTGGAACTTTGGTTTCACTATTTCCACACTTAATTAAAACATGGGGTTTATTTATAATTATTAAAACTGAGCTAGTAATATCTTGTGATATGAGTAAAGGTATTGACTCAGTCTGGTTTACTCTCTTTCTCTGTTACACCATCATCCTTTACTGTGTGCTTTCCACTAGAGTAAAAATATCTAAAAACTAATTTAGTCACAAATGCATTTCCTGTCCTAACAGAGTGCCTCCAGGAAACAATGTGAAGTTCAGCAAAATACCATTCTCATAACAAGCCTCTATTAATTATTTTGGAGTAGCTAAATAGGTTCCACAGGGCATAATTTGGGGATAAAACAAAAGCACAACAGACCTCAAAAACACGATACAAAAATACTTATAAACCTTCAACTTTGTCCCATTCAGAACTCTCAAGGTGGATAACAACGCCTGAACTGAAACTAAACAAAATGAAAATGCAAAATGATCATAGGAGAGGAACTCATTATTGGCACTGTATAATGAAATCCAATTGAACGAGAACAATAACAGTCCAAACAGACCCGGGGGATTCCAATTTCCACACTCATTACCCAGTAATGGTTCAGGCATTAGTGAGATGAGGTGAATAGAATAGCAGGTCCAGGAGAAAAGGTTCCCTTCCTAATGCTTTTGGACACAAATTGCCAGTATTCCATGACCTCTTATTGAAGCCTTAATGACAGAGGCACACTGCAATATACATCCTGCAAAGTATCGGCACGGTCCTTGGCTGTGGACCAAAACCGTAGCATCAGCAGCGGCATTGAGCTTCGCGGGAGTTTCATTATCGGTGTGAATTGACTTTGGCGTAGTGACACATGGCCCAAACTGCAACTAAAGAAAAGTGAGATTAGGGGTTAGGAAAAGAATGAATTTACATTTTGATGAGGGAATTTACATTTTAACTATAAAATTTATTTTACTTGGCTGGCAGTGAATTACAATTTGTAAGGTTAAACAGAACATTTTCACAATTATGGGATATTACCACTTACATGACTTTAGTCCATAAACCTGCACTCCAGGGGATGATGTGTGTGTTCGTCAAGCTCAGGTCCTCCATCAGAGGCCATATATATGTAATTAAAAGGAATTATATATTTACGCGTCTTTATGATCTACTTAAAGCTGCATGAATCAGTTTGTAGCTACTTTAGGGCAAAAGTCTGACGTCACTTACCTTAGAACGTTGCTCACATGAGCAGTATTACACTACATATTATTGCATCACAGTTCTTTTTTACTGGGATGCTGGTTAACTCTGTTTTGGTCTCAACAAGGTCATTAAAACATTATTCAACAGCTTGTTGCTGAATTTGTCTCTGTTGTTGATGCTGTGCAGGTCACTTCAATATTAATCATTTGCTGGAAAAAGACTGAACAGTACAACAAACTTGCAGGTGTTAAAAAAACACCTGATTAGAGTCAGTGCTAATTTAAAGTACAGTGATTAATGCAGCTTTAAATAAAACAAACAGGCAGACATATACTGTAGAAATCAGTGGCTTGGCTTGAAGAAACAATACAATCGTAATTTCAGCATTGAGGATATTAACTGTCTGTGATCTGGGACTTATTTATCTGAGTTAAGGGCTATCAGATCTTATTAGTCTGATTTATACTTTATAAATCAGACTAATAAGATCTGATAAGTAGACTGCTTTTAGACTGTATACTTTGAAATATCATCATTAATATTGTGTAGTGTTGTTCTTATAAATTTGGCCTTTTGCAGCCAACCTACTGGGAAAATCTGCTCAAATATAGCAATAAGATCCCACTAAAGTGCCAACTTCTGATACTTTAAGCACATCCCTGAATCTCTTTAACTCTCATCCAACCCCAAGTTTGCATAAAATGAGGTGAAGGAAGGGGTAGTGAAGCAAATTTCCCATGTGTTGTGGATTATGTTGTGAATTAAAAACACTACTGTACCATTACCAATCTGTGCAACTAGTACTTCTGTGAGTAGAAACATCTGAGTGCTGCAATTTTAAAAGTCACCATACTGACTTTATTATATTAGAACGGTCGCCTATCAGATTCTCCCTGCTGCATCTCATTCGACATTCATACGATCGGATAGTCAAACTGGAATAAAGAGAAGAGGAACTGTAGGAGAGATAACAGAAATCTCCCCATGTTCCTGTAGTCAAGATCCTTGTTGAGTCACTCTCCAAGTGTTTTTAATCAGGTTCACAAGTTTGAGGATAGCCTGGATTTGACTTTGATGTGGTCTGTCTCAGGAAGGCTCACTAAAGAGTCCTTCTTGGGGAGTCCCGATTCTCCCAGACCAGTTCCCACTCCTCCTACTGCTACCCCTGCAACAGGTGGAAAACCATGAACAGAACCAGGGAGGGATGCTACAGGAAAGGCCCCAACAGACATCTGGTGTGGGAGAACCACCCTGTGTGGTATGGCGCTCCGGATGCCTGTGTGACCCAGTGGGGTGTGAGGGGGCTCGATGGAAGTAGAAGAGACTCGTGTAGATTGGGGTGGACTAGGGACAGCTGGTTGTCCCATCTCGTGAGGCAGTGAAGGCTGAGAAGCTGACAGTGCCCTGGCATCTTGGCTCAGACTTCCCATTTGCAAAGAATGGGTGCTCTTATGTGTGCTGGGCCTGTGCACGGGGCTGGCTATGTGCTGCTGGACTAGAGAAAGCTGTGAGCCTGAGGTGGGACCAGCCAGGGCACTGGATCCATACTGGAATGATCGCCCACCGACTGCTAGTGGGCTTTGGACAGGGGGGCTGGACAGGACCGGAGGAAAGGCACCAGAAACAAGGAGTTGAGACTGAAGTGGAGAGGCTGAGACAGGGCTCGATACACTTTGCATCACCTGAAATCTCCTCATCATCCTGGGAGACTGCAGGTTACCCAATCCCACAGAGTTTCCTTGCATCGGAGCACAAAAATTCATGGCTACAGCCTGCTGGAGAGTGGCAACTGCTGAATTGTGGGCAGAGGAACTTGGAGGCGTAAAGATCCCACCGGTCAGTGGAGGCGTCATGGACATGGCCCGTGGGCGTGGCACATCCACCTGTTGAACCATCTCCCGATCATATTTAACTATCTCCTGGATCATCTCGTTCTCACGATTGTTGAAAACACCTGAGTTGAGATCATGCTGAACTTTGTGCATCAGGATCGAGTTCTTCTTGCCTGTAAAGACATGGAAAAAGGAAGAAGTGTTGCTATAGCAAATAGAAACAATGCAAAAAATTAAAGAAAAAACAAAACAGACTTTAATGCTATATTTCCATACCTTACAATTTGTTAATAATATGCTAAACAGAAAAAAGCTTAATTTACACATATATACTGATATAAACAAATATACTGCCTGTATCCATTTTTTGCAAACAAGCAATCCAAGACTGATGGACACGCAGACACAGAAACACCCTCTGCCTGCTGTAGGGTAATGCAGAGGTGCAGGCAACCATTATTTCTGCAGTGACCTCAGTGCATATGATGTAAGAGGGAGCATTTCACTGACAATATATTAGCCCTACAGGAGAAAACACTATTTACTTCAACGTATTTCTAACGTATATGTGCAGCTAATTGACGGCTATTGCAACTGCTAATTTAACAGGTTATCAGTAAACAGCACCAACTGATGCCTTTATTGCTAAATTTGATGGTCGCAAGCATCATAAACTGCAAACGAGAGATTAGTGAAACCATCTGAGGAAAAGGTCTGTGTCCCAGTTTATATGGCATGGGGAGTCTCGCCTTGTGTTTGCTGGCAGATGCTAACAGACCACATCCAAATCAGGAAGCCAACCTCTGATTTTTATGTGAAAAAAAAGAGAGAACCTGAGCTGCCAGCAAAGCACTGAATCCAGCCTTGCCAGCTCAAAGCACAGCTGGATGCAATGCTGGATGAGTGGCCCCAATTTCAGAAGCAGTTGCACAGCCGACTTGAGGCTTTTCCCCATCATCATCTCAGCTGTGAGTGCGGTGGCCAAAAACACGCACTTGAACAAGTGATGTGTGATCTATTTTCTTAGCAGAAGCATACACTTGGTGAAGTAAAAAACAGTCACGTGATGAATCCGACACTAAAAACTGCAGTTTGTCCACATTATTTCATAAATGCGCCAAGGAGAGAGGACACACCAAGGACAGAAAAATACAGTATATGCACTCTGATCTACAGTAACATGGAATGCACAGGGCATGAATCAATGACTTAGAAACCATCCTAGCATGCACCAGTTCATTCCTTAATTCAGTTGTGTGTTATAAATTCATGTGGTGGTCATAATGCTTTAAAATATTAAGCTGGTTTATGTGATCTCAGACTGTAAATGACTCACAGAAATGCACTGCTTCTTATAGCAAAACCTCTTGAAAGCACTCAAAAGTAAAACAGTAAACCAGCTGGGATTATAAAGGCAGATTTGTACGAGGCATTATGATGTATGCCACTGAGGAGTGAACCGCAGAATCCCACTTAGTCCTGAAAAAACTGTCTGCACAGATAAAACTAAGACAGAGTAATTCAGGTGAAAGCAGGTGTGCATTTCAGCTGAGGGCCATCCTGGGTCACAGTAGTACTGCAGAGAAGAGAATAATGGGATCGCACAAGTTCAAACCCACTGCTGTCAGGCAAGTAAGATGACTGTGTTAGAGACTATTGTGTATGATACCTGCTGAGTGCCTTCCCTCTGATGTGAGGCCCAGATAGGCTGATAGTCAGTAAACAGGCTCTCTCTCTCTAACACTAACACCTATTCACTCTAACCAGTGGCTTACATGTGAGGAGAAGGCAACTAACGGTGAGATCAGGTGAACAAATCCTCAATATGTCAGATTTAGAGTAGAAGGTTCATTGCAGGTGAGCATTAGATACTGTTAAAACAGGAGGCAATGAAGTATGAGAGAAAAAGATGGACACTGTGATGTGTTGCTTCAGGGATTGGACATGTTGAGACCAAAGACAAGATGTTGGCAGCCTTCCTAGCAAAATCCAGATGACCCAACATCTGTTGTGCCCTGGTAACAAAAAGGGACTCACAGCAGAGCACAGCATGTAGAGAGGTTTGTGTGTTCATATGGAAACTGTAGTATTGTCAGCTTGATTCACCAGTGCGGATGGCAGCCTGGAAAGCTGACTTCAGAGCTAGGTTATTTGTAAGTGCAAAGCCTGAGATCTACTGTACATCACAAACAAAGATTATTATTCTACCACAACCAGCTGCTAAGCCAGAAGGAGAACATGAGGGGAAGGCTGATGATGATTTGGTGACTTGTGCTTCACCAGCATGATACATTTGCTGCATGTGTGGAATAAAAACACTCACAGCTTGGGAGTTTAATAGTGGAATTACAGTGTGATTATGAAAATCTGCACTAGAGTGTGCAAACACATCTATACAGGTTGATCATATTTAAACGTCAGCAGTTTTGCTTGATTCTGTGTATCAAGCAAGATTTTCCCACAGATGGGATTCTCCTGATAATGCCAACAATCAGAAAAGGGGGAAACGCTGTAACATGTGTGGCCCTGGAAATGTATGATTCAATTTAGCTTTTATATAGACACACAAAAAATCAGAAGGCTTGGAGAAAATTAATCAAAAGTGTGGGTGTTCCTGGTAAGTACTGTTGCTTTATTCCAGCTCTGTGTTGAACTCCTCCTCCTCCCACTGACTTTTATGGGGATTTTATCTGCTGATAACACAGAGCTACTCTCTGAGGTGTTTGGAGGCTTGGAAAGAGGAGACAAAGGAATGCATATTTGTTGGCTTGCATCCTTGGAAATTCTCTTAGGGAAAACAGCAGTTGGAGAACTCTGCATCACACAAAATTATTGTATCAGTGTGCAATGAATGTGTGATCTAGCTGCCTTTGAAATGGTTGCATTGAAGGGGATCAGGTCTGCATCTACTCGCAATCCTATTGCGATCTTCAAAGCTACTTTGGTGCATCGAGACTGGCAATAAAACAGCAATAAGACCGAGTCAGTCAGCTATCAGTTTGTGATTGAATGACATCAAACAGATGAACAGGTTGAACTGTGATAAACTGGCAGATTGACAGAAAACTGACATTAAAGGTACATTTACATCAACTACTTACATACCAGTCAGAACCTCATAGATCGTAGAATTCCTCCACAGACAGTAATGTACTTATTCTAAGACAGCAATTTAAGTGCAACATTACATTGGAAAAAGACCCATAGAAGAGTTGTGTATTCCACAGTACTTGTAATCAGTTGCCAAATCAAAAAAAAATAATTCAATGGATTCACCAGGGAACCACCAATTTGTCCAAGTCACAAGGAGGTTGCTACCATGTTTTTTCTCTAGTGTGACTGAGCCATTGAGAGATGGAATTTCTCATAGATATGGTGGTGTTTCTTGTCATACATCCTCCTTGGGTGCTTGTAAACTGGCCAAGCTGTAGTGCCAGGCTCTGCTCATCAAATGTGCATCATAAATAGCAGCGATGGATGACAATAAAAAGAGGAAAAGGCATACAACCATCTGATTGCATCCTCTAAAGTGCAAACTTGGTTGGGGATTATCATGGTTTTGAAGAAGTTGGTACTGCAAGTTGGACCACCCTCATTTGTGGTTCAGAGATAAAGCACGGATAATACGTCACTGTTTCCACAGCAATACCATTGCCAAGTAACACCTAGAGTTTCTTTTACTAGCCATTGATTAGTAGAAAATAATGACACATACACAGAAGGTCACACAAGTGTCTCTATGTCCATTAATGGCCCACACAGGTCAAACACTGTTGTCATTAAAATGCACGGATGGCTGAATCAGCATTCCTCATTCAAACTTCTAGTCATAAATGCCCGCACAGAAAACAATACATAACTACTGAAGACAATTAAGCTTAAAGATTTATTTAATCATGAAAGCTATTTAACCAACAAAGCATGTGTCTTTTATTTAGACTCTTATGTTCTTAAGGCACCTTTTTATAGATCTCTGTGTCTTTGATCCACTTGTTTTCTTCTGAGAAAGACTGTTGAGAAAGCCAATTAAAAGAGCTCATCATTAGTGACTAGTATGCATCAAGTATGATTGGAGGTTTGGTCTTGAAGCAGACAATCCAAGCCTCTCTTTAAATATGTGAGTTGCCTGACTGAAGTCTGCTCATGTGTGGAAACTGGCTGCTATGGCAACAGCTGGCAGGTGGCAGATTCAGGGCCTCGTGAACATATGAGGTGTGGTCATGTGATGAGGGATGTAACATTAGCTGACCTTGGGGGGCATGACGGGAGACGGAAAGTTGTTTTTAATGTGAAGGAAAATATAAACTGTCAATCAGCATTCATGAGCACATCTTTGTGTGTTTTTGTTTAATATTTGTTTTATATACATTCACTCCAGACTGAGGCTACTGAACAATCGCTGGAAAAAAAATCAGAATTATGCATTTCAAGTAAAGTAAAAGTTTTAACTGGCTTTGCTTTTCTTCCCAAAATGGCAAATATCTACCAAAAGAGTTAAACTGCACTAAAACAACTGAGCTTAAGGAACCTAATAACATACAAAGATACATATTCACCTTTGATTTCTTTCCTGAGCCGTACACCGCACACAGCCCTTGTTAGGATCATTCATAGACTACATCCCAGCTGTCAGACCGTGCAGTGTTTTGACAGAGACATCACAGTAATGAATGAGTATGTTTTCCTTATGCTTCATTTCATCTAGTGAATGACTCATAAGCTTATGAAGACAGCAATGCACGTGGCTTTTATCACTGAGGCATAATTATCCAAAACTAAATCTCTGTTCATATCTCTGTTCATAAATCATGTCAGAATAAATACATTTTTACTGTTTATTGTTCTTTCGCACATTCTTTCTCTTTTCTTTATTGTAGCCTAGCATGTTTCTGCATAAATTTAAGAGACGATATTGGAATGAGGAGCCTGAGTGCTGCAGTACTGCACAAAAGCCTTACAACACCCTTAATTTATTTAAATTTTGCTTCCAAAAAACTGACCTTTTTGCATTTTTAAAAGTGATCTTTGAATACTTATTCTCTACCGTTTCTAAAGGTCTTTTTCATTTTCTATCATTTTCAGTCTTGTCCATGTACCTGACCATTGTCAGAGGATTGTTCTTTTTTGGTTTGCTGAACCATTTAACACTGAATCATTCGAGCATAAAAGGCCTCCTAACTCAAGTAGCAGCTTAGCAAAGAACCAGTTTTAAATTATATCTTTAGACATTGTGTTATCAGCAGCCGTTCACAAAAACACATAATTTGTTCCAAATTCTTAACAAGGTGATTCCCCAAGAGCTATGAGCTGAAAGCTTTGATTGGTGTGCAGGATGTTCTTAAAAAATTGAGAAAAGTGGACAAATGGAGGACAAAAAAAGGAAGAAGTGGTAAGCCTTAAAAAGCTATCTACAACAGATGAATAGTATCTGAAAGCTGTGGTCTTAAATATCTTTTTAATCTTTTGGCTTTTGTTTTAAATTTCTAAACTTTTAATCACATCATAGTAAAACACCTACAGGAGACTACCCAAATCTATATTGAACATAATGGCAGTCTTCTTACCTATCCTGTCCAATCTGTCAATGGCAACTGTCTCAAAAGCCCTCCTCATCATGGGGTACTCCTCCAGTACCTCATTGAAATTGTCCACAGAGAGAGAATACAGGCGACAGTAGGTGTCCGCACGCACACTGGCTGTCCGTCTGCCACGGGTCAGCAGGCAGATCTCTGGAGGGGTGAGAGATACGGTCAGAACAGAAAATGGCAAACCCACAGATTTCAGTGTTAGACAGCAATAGAGAAAAGAAGAGAAATGCTATGAGTAAGAGGTCTGTTAAGCAGTGCGACGCTCAGCCAAAACACTGTTACAGTACATTAAATGTTAAAATGTTCTGTTATGTTTCCGCACAGGCTGTGGAAAACTCCTGGGCTTAAGAAAATGTGTGCTCAGAACAAAGGCTGTGTGTCATCAGCATGACCCGCTGAATGTAACCCTAGGTATTTCCTCATTCACTAGCACTACACTGACAGCAGTGTATAGCATATATATAGATGTGCTCCATTGCATTCAGTTGTTTCCCTTCCCTTCTTTAGTATCTTCTTCTCTATTACTTTTTCCTTTTATTGGCTGGAGCTGACTGTTGTCTTGACAACCATATTCCCTCCTTTTCCTTTCCCTGCAAGGTTGACCTCCTCTGACTCTCTGGGGAAGGGGGAAGGGAGCGTGGGGGCACCAGGATACTCCATTAAGAGCAGGCACTGCACTGGACTGTTCCTGTTTGTTTATATGAGGTTTCTCACAAACTCAGAGCAATCCAAGGAAGTCGCACTTTATTTTATCTACTTTCTAATGAAGAATAATTATATTTCCATGTGTATCTGTTAAATCCACTACCAGACAGCAATAACATCTGTGTTTACACCCTTGTAGAAAAATAGTTTTGGTGTGTTCGATGAGTAATTTTTAAAAATTATATATTTTTTGTTACCTGTCAGTTTGTGAAGTCTTAAAGCTTACAGTAACAGGTGTGGCAGACACAGGTAGCTGTAGCTGATACCTGTCTGCTGGTTGAATGAAATTCAAGTATTTTAATACTTTGTTATTGAGGACTAATTAGCACACATATGTGTATATACACATTTTTATAATATATACAGTCCATTAGATTCTCCGTTAGCATAAGCTTCTTTTCATACTGGCTTGAAATCCACTTTTGTTAGAATTGTAGGAAAAGGCATCATGTTCAGAAAGCTCTCTTGAAATTGGAATATCCCTGTTTACACAAAACGCAGCCATTTAGATACTGGTAGCATCAATAGTGTCTACTGGGAAGTGCAGACAGAGGATAATAATACCAATGAAATTGCTGCCACTGAATTAAAAGGGTTTCCAAACCACTGGGTGACCATTTGTGGCTTGTAGACGGGGAAACTGCCATCCTTAAATATACTGAAAGAACAGAGAAAGGCTGGATGGTTAATGTGAACTGTGGCAATTTGGATCTTTGCTTCAATTTTGGATCATGATCATTGTAACCCGTTTCTGTGGCATAACCAGCTCTGTTTCCTGTTTCAGTTAATGTAATATCTGCAAATTCTCTTATTTACGGCTTCATTTTCTGATGTGTTGACAGGAATTAACCCGTTCCCCTGGGATTTTGTTGGGACACCAGAAGAATCTGAGTAACAAACTGCTTGTCCACAGGATCTGCTCACACACTGTGTAATACAGATGATGATTATGAGGTTATGTTTGGCTGTATTCACTGTGGACTTTATGGAAAGGGAATAGGGGTAAAAGAGGAAAAACCGTTCCTCAAAGTGCAATCTACTCCATCTGTGTGTGATAACTGTACAAAATGTAGTGTGGTGTGGAAAGGAGAAAATCCACGAAAAGGTTCCTTAATGTTAGAAAATCTACCAGTGGCTAAGGTTAAGTCGGATACTAAAATTTAAAAGCAGGTAAATCCAATCAAAAAACACTTCGTGCATTAGCTGGTTGGTGATGGTGACATCACCATCTACTTAGTGCTACTGACTTATTCAGAGATTTTACCACACATACACACCCCACTGGAAGTTAAACCTTGTTGTCCCCTCGGTTCTTAGCTCACTGCTAGCTGTGTGCATGGAGACCTGTGATTTCCTCCCTGGTCGCAGGCATGACTTCAAACACTCGATGTCTGACATTATAAATGGCCCCATCATCTTCATTCTGCTGTGCTAATTAGGTGTTATTAATTAGGTGTGTGTGTGTGTGAATGGATGTGTGCATGTGCGTGCTGTGCAGTCATGTCACTACAACAGTGCTCTGGGCAGCTGGCACATCAACGAAACTGTGAGTGGACAGAGCTTCTGCAGAGGGCATCGGATGTTAAAAATGCAGCCCAAAGAGTCACGCTACAGGACCTAAAAAGTGTATGTTGGTGTGTGTGTGTGGGTTTATGCGTGGCAATAGTAGCACCACATGCTTCTAAACAGCCACAGAGGAACAACAACCCGGGAAAGTGGGACAGAAGTCGCCGTAAGGCTGAACAAGAAGTCCAAATAAAACATTGGGGTAGTTTTTTGTTTATCTGCAAACTGCAAAAGTAACACACACATCTGTGATATTACTGAAGTGTGGGGCTGTCAAACACAAGGCCCAGGGACCAGAAATGGCCTGACAAAGACGCCAATCAGGCCCATTGGACAGCTTTGGAAAATGTGAAAGAGAGCAGAGATTTTGGACTTTTAACTGTATTTTCATAGGTTTTACAGTATTTCCTACTGATAAAGACATTGTTATTCACACTACACCAAAGTAATTGAATAATAGATAAACAATACCAATTAAACTACAAAGCTCACTGCCTTTTCTAGGCAAAACATTCTCTGTAATTTTACATATTTAATTTTTGTGCCGACTGATTTCTGTCATTTGCTACAGCAGCATTTCTTTATCGTGTAGGAAAACTGAGATTTACTGTTGAAATTGCACATTAAATGAGATTACATTTGTAATGAATTATCTTTACACAGACAGAAAGGGGAGTTTTGCTGCTTTGGCCTACTTAAGATCAAAGTGAGTTTTAGGTGGCCCATGATGTAAAATGAGTTTTACATCCCTGCTGCAGTGGATTCTAGTGGGAAGTAAGGTGTAAATAATCCATAGAAGAACAGAAATGAATAGAACTGAGTAGATTACTGAGTAGTTACATACCTCCAAAATAGGAGCCATCCATCAGCTTCATGCCAATGCTTCCTTTGGTCAGGACGCTCACCACCCCGTGCTGAATGAAGTACATCTTCTTGCCAATTGTCCCCTCTCTGATGATGTAGTCTCCAGGCTGAAATACTTCAAATCTCAGTTTGGTCAGCATGGCTGTCACAAAGTTGGGATCTGCGTTGGCAAACAGCGGCATGGAGGCCACCAGCTTACGGCAGTTGAAGTTGACAATTTCCTAAATGGCAACGGGAGATACAACTGGTTAATCTGCGCAGATTTTTAGCACAGGGATTTACAGTTAAAGATACAAACACGGGTTTGGTGATAGCTGTCTGAATTAGACCATTTTATAACTAAATACATACAGAGAAGGCTGGAAGTAATCGATTTTAAACACGGGGTTACATTTTTCAGATGAAACAAGGATAAATGACTATTTTATTGAATTTATTCCATCTTATTTCATCTGTGGAGGCATGTGTGTATTCACGGGTGAGTGAGTACATCACAGAAAATGTATGGGATTTTTTTTTTTTCATACCTCGCGCAGAGGCTCATTAAGCTCCTCCAGGATGCTCTCTTCATCAAACATCTTGCCCTGGTATCGGTGCTCATAGTAGTCATGGATTTTCTGTCGGAAGTCGGCTGGGAGTTTGTGGAATGACATGTACTGCTCCACTTGTTTGTACTGGAAGATGGAGAGAGGCATAGGAGAATATTAATGAGAATGAACAGAAGCATAAATCAATGAAAACAGGATTCAGCAACTTTCTTGTTAATTTTGACACTTTGCGAAGTACGTCCGACTTTAAAGAATCACCACGGCCTTGATACAGAAGTTGCAGCAGCTGGAAAGACCATTCTCAAAAGACTGTTTCTTTGACTGTCCCCATCAGCTTCAGGTGTGCATGACCAATAAAGCAACTGAGATGTACAGCGCTGCACACACAGGGATCCTATGACCTATTTATACCTGGTAGCCATGGGAAGAAAATTGTGATGAAGTAGTTAAGGAAACATGACAGCTCTGTAAAGCCCATGAGGATTCCTCCCGCTCTGATGTGTTCAGAGAAGAAGGACGCTGTGATCATACATGCCAACTAAAGCCAGTTTCTCTCTCTCTCTCTCTCTGTCTAGTGATGTTGCTTTCACAAATGCTTTTTTTTAAATGACAAATTTACAGAAAATACTATCAAGGTTTTCACAAAGGAATTGTGTTTTGTTGTTGTGCATTTCATTTTTCATGAAGAAAAAAAACGTGAAACAAATCTTCCATGATCTGTGAAGACTGAGGGGAAATAGGTAAATAATTAAGTGGAACTGGGCATTTGAGTGGAAAGAGTTTCTATTTAGAGAAAGGAAGATGTTTGTCACCTTTGCTTGATTAATATGTAATTATGTGGCTAGAAATAATCACGTGAAAACAGAGGTTGGCTTTGGCACATCGTGTTTGTTCACTGTAGAGTCAAATTGAACCCACTGATTCACACCATCGCGTATTCGGCACTGCAATGCTTGTCTGAAACAAATGCAGCCTGAATGTCCACTTTGTTGCTCTGTAACACATTTAATGCCTGGATTCCCTGTGAAAACAGAAGCTGCTGGACCTACTGTATAGCTTTTCCTATAATGTGAAATTGAAAGGCATGTTATTCACTGTACACAGACAGTTTTTGGATTGGCTTTACTTATTTATATCACAAATATCCATGATCCCATGGAGTTTCACATACCAGCTGTTGAGAATGGTGGGAATGAAAGAAACTGAAATCCCCCCAGCTTAGCACTCATTGCATCAGAGAAGGTAAAAAGTCGAAACATCCAGTTAAAAATGTTAAAAGTGTTTATCTATATGTGCTTTTCCTAGTAAATCATCTTTACTCTTGATCAAAGATATAACTAAAGTACAAGTCTAATACTATGATGAATGAGAAGCTTGAGTAATGAATATGTTTGCATATTTGAAATGTAAAAGATAAGAAATGTGTCTCCAGCCCATGAATACACATTATTCTGAAGTTTAACTGATCTAGCAAATAAAAAATATATTAAAATGTATCTAATAACAGATCTCTCTTCCCTCCTTCCTGTATAAAAATATGTAAATCTCTACACTACACACGCTATTAACACCCTGAGGGCGAAAATGTGACCATGTGATTTTGAAAAATGAGCCGATAAGATTAGCCATGAAACCAGTGCAGTGCACTTCACTTCCTGTTATATCAGCAGGCACACCAACACAAAATGATGCATAAAGATGCAACATGCACACACAAAAAGGGAGAAAAAAAGACTCAAAGAAAATCATAAAAGTGGAGAATAATATTAATGAATCTCACAGAAAAGTTGCTCTAGAACTGTAATCAATACTGGCTAAAGAGAGTATGGCCCTGTGGATGGGGTTGCTTAATGTTACATAAGGCCCCTCTCTCTTTCCCTCCCAACTTTGTGTAATAAACACTGTGAGTCACACCTAGAATAAACTGTCAGTGGAATGAGTAGTAGATTCTAGCCTGACGCTCACAGTTAGATTTAAAGGACACAGCATGTATGGAGGGTCAGCAGCGGGGGCACTCACAGTGACCTTGCTTGTAGTGGTCAAAGACACATGCATTGGGAAGGATGGCTTGCTCTCCAGGAAATTACATTTTGCCACATTGTGAAGTGACATATGGCTTTGTGACTAAAACGCAGGCTTGACCCTGGTGGCATGGGTGTCACAGCAAATCACAAGATACTTTATGCAACACCTACTGTACTAGCTGTCGCAGTATGACATTATTTAACTGTTTTCTCCCCAAATATAAAGTGATGAGTGGATTTGACAAAAACAACAACAACGACAAAAAAAACGTGGCTTTATGTAAGAATTGCAACAATGGCAGAAAGGAGTCACCTTTGGTCCTGTTTTCAGGAAAACATAATAAAGTTCTGGAGGCAGTTGGACTGTTCTAAATCCGCTCCATCTGCTATAATCCATTCACAATATTTCTGTTTATTATTTCAGAGTTCCCTAATACTCTTTCATTCTCTTTCCTTGTAACTGTCTGGTATTATACTGTTCTGCGATGCAGGTACTCCACAAATAGATACATGTACATACATATAGTAATGAATTACCTTACATAGGTACATGATAAAATATATGCCATGTCTTGAGTAGATCGCCCGCTTTAATGAACGACATAATGAAATTACACCTGCAAAAACAATTTAATGCTTCCTCCTCTTTCTTATGTAAACTAATTTTAATCTCCATCTCATTCAGTCTTAATTAATTGCCTTGGGTCTTGGTTAATTTAGCATGAAAGGCCAGTACTAAATGAAACCTTACAGGTTGTCTTCCTCAGCCATCTGCTCAGATTTTGAGCATATGCTGAAAGTCAACACATAATCCAAACAACGACAAAATGGTATCGTATATACATAATGAAGGGGGATTCCTGCAAAATGAATGTGCCCTTCACGAACCTGATTTAAAAAAAAAAACGGTTTAACTTGACAAATCCCTTCCCGTTCACCATGTGTCAGTAACAATAAAGATTCAGCCAACTTCCATAATATCTGACTCACTCAGTCAAGCGCAGGGATAAACGGGAAGGCTCCAATTAAGTGTTGCCTGCCCAGTGATTCAGTATGTGACAGCTTCAATTAAACTAGAATGACAACTTTCTCGCGAGCTTGCTTCCTCGTTCTCCTACTACTTGAAATTGGTTGGTGAAGAAGCCGAGCTTTACTGCCTTTCTGATTTTCGCAGCATTAGACTCAGATTAGTGACTACGTCAGTCAAAGTTAGCAGGACAGGAGTGATGTTCAAAAGGCCTCATGCTTGAAGAAAAAGATGTTTATAAGTGAAGAAGAAACAATTGATGGTCTCTCATGAGGATATATTAGGAAATGATGTTGTGGAAATGCAAAAGAACAAAGGGGAAAGATGGCCGGTGGCTGTTGTTTGAACTCGGTTAATGCTGTCAATCATGCTGGATAACAGAGACAATAGAAGGTGTATGAAAATCCAAGTTCATAGCCACATCCAGCTAATGCACACTTACAAATGTAATACCTCCCACTTAAGAGAGCAAGTTTTAAAAAAAATTGAATACAACAGGGCTTGTTTTGTTTTCAAGTCTCAAGCAAAGATCATCATAATTTTTCAGTTTTATTTTGCCTGATCACTTCCTTTGTTTCTTTGTGTTAATACATAGCTTCCCGGCTTTCTTCACCCTGTTTACCTACCTGTGCTCTGATGTATATTTTACTTTGTTAATCACTTTCCTTGCATGTCTCTGTCAGTTTTACCTTTTTCTTTTTCTTTTTTATCCCTTATTCAACTTCTTGTGTGTATTTATAGTTTCCCTAAATATAGCTGTGCATCTGTTTAAAGATTGCTCTTTCATCATTGTAATTGCCTTTGATTGTACAAACAAATACATCCACGTCAGGTGCAGATGATATGCTTCTGAATTGTACTAATAATGGACTCTAAATTTACAAAGTGTGCCCAAGGAGAAAGATGACACTGAAATCAGGTTCTTCTGTAGGACTTGTATGAAGCAAAGTATTTTTTTTTTTATAAAATTAAGTCAGAGTCTGGAGGTCATAGCTGCAGAAGTTGCACAGATTTTCTATTTTTTTTTGATTGGCCATAAAGCCCTAGTTGCAAGCATGATGCATGGCTGTCACTGTAAGCTGCCACAGAGGGAAAGGAGAAATTGAATTGGTGCTCGTATTAATGGGCCATGTCACTGAGAGTCATGGCATGAGATGTGACGGTCTTATATCTGTCTGTGTGTGAGCTGTTCTAAGTCTATAAAACCTAAGTCAATTTCAGCTGTACCCTTTTAGCTTTTGACTGAAGAGTGGAGACAGACCCATGGGTTATTATCGTTATTACTGTTACTATAGTAATAGATTTTAACATATTTCAAAAATTACACCGATAACACTGATTTCTTAATGGCACATAAGACTAACAAAGGAGGATTACACATGATTATATCAAAGGATATAATTTACATTTTGACACAGATTCGCACCGCCTTCATGGGTTTTTACACAAGTTTAGGTGTATTCATGGATGTTTAACTGATTACAGAAAGACTTTAACACGGAACCAGCAGAAGTCGCTGTTTAGCCAAACATTCGATAATGAGCGTCAACTGCAAACAAGAGTCTGGCATTTCTCACTTTAAGCCTTGAGAAGTGTCTGTGAGCTCCACAAAGGGCAAGTAAGTGGATGCAAAGTAAAAATATTTTTGGGGGTCAAACTTCAGATGATGTAGATCTGATCTATCACATGCAAGAGATGGGTCCCAAGTTGTCCAGGTCAGGACTCAAGTGATTGTCTAGGTTATAAAGTGAGTAGTTCTTGAAGTCGCTGTTTGATGTGTTAAGGCCAAGTGCATCTCTGCTCATCATGTGAGTCCCCAGGGGTCACATCTTCCTCCTCTCACCACTGTTTGGACACACTGCTCCGTGGCTCTTTAGGGGAGGAAGTGATGGGGTAGGAGGAGAGGGAGTACAGTTACATAAGGGCTAATGCCCTCTGTCCATGTGCGGTGTCCGCTACCAGATGGTGTATTGCCCAACAGTCAAGGGCGAATGGACACATAAAACAGGGGAGAGATGGAAGCATGAAGACGGGAAGAGGGTTTTCAAAGATCCAGGGTCCAAGCACCAAAAGAA